AAAAAGGCACTCTCTTCAACAAGTGAATGCTTTTTTAGAACTTCAAATGGAATATTTAGAGCTATAAACATTCCCTCCGTATTCGGATGTAAAAATAGTTCATGGGCCAGATTTAAATAATTAACTACTCAAAATTATCTTTAGGACATTTTTTCAGGGTCTCCTATTAAAGATGCTTAAAAATCTTGGAACATGAAAAGAGAGGTTTTATTGTGGTGCTAAGGGCCCTTATGCGCAGTTGTCTAACCTTTAAAGATCAAATGAGGGGATGCATGTTAAAATACAAAGCCGTCTACAAACTATTAGATTACCATTTGGTGTTACAAAAGCAAATTGGGTGTAATGAGCGGGAGGTTAATGTTCGCGCCAGGGCGCGGGACGTCTGGACCCGCCGGGGTGGGCCTGACGGTTCCGAGCTTCGGTGTTCCGCCGCTCCGCGGGGCTGGTTGAAGGTCGGACGCACCTCCGACCGCGTCAAGGGCCCTGGGGCACGGCGACGTCGCAGCCAAGCGGGGATAGAGGCGACACCCGGGAGCTGCGGGCCTGGCTTGGCGGGCAGACGCGCCGCTTCTCCGAGGCAAGGTCCCCAGACCAGCGGGACGGGGAAGCACGGTGCCCTCGGCGCACTTGGGGGCGCGCCCAGCGCCCACCCGCTCTCCTTGCGGCCCCACTCGCCGGAGTCCCACGTGCCGCCGCTCTCCTGCCCCAGGGCCCCCGGGCGAGTCGCCGGTGTCGAGCAGGGCGGGCACGGGAAAGTCAGACCCCCGACCCGCAGGGTGGCTTGTGTGTCCCGGCCCCCGCCGGGCCCAAAGCGCATCATTGCATCCTGGAAGCGGCGCCGAAGCTTCCCCCTCCACTCCCTGCCCGAATGCAAACACCGAACCTTTGAGGAGATGATGGAAATCTTCCTTCCGAGGCTGCACGTTAAGTTCTAAGTCTGAACGTAACCGAATTGAGCTAAGCTTAGAAATCTAAAATTTAGACGTTGTCTGATGAGCCAACGCTCCCGTTCCGGACGGTAGAGAGCTGGCTGGTTCCGTGTGGCCAGTCCGGGGCCTCTTCCTGACCGCCTCAGACGGTCGTGGAGCTGAGATGCGGCCGCGGCCACACTGTTCCTGGCGATCCACTGCCCTCCTATTACTGACCGGGAAACAAGTCAACAAACCATAAAATGACAAACAGCCCGTTCTCGATGGATTTTTCCTCCACGCAACATAACGTTAACTGCTTGCGTTGCTTGTTGCGGATTTCGTATTTATGGAATGAGGGCCAGGAGAGAACACGGTATGATTTCTGTATTTGAAATGGGACTTCAGCTATTCACTACTGCAAAATAGTTTGCACAACTTAGAGTTAGGCAGTATTCGTGATTAAACCTTTATTAGAAGTCACTTAAACAATGACTGAAATAGAGGTTACAAGAGATTTTAAAAATTAAATGGTCTTTCATTCAATTTTGGGTACACATTGTCCAACTGCAGGTAAATATATAAAGCAAAAAAAGTGAAACCATAAAACAAAAAACCTCTCCCAGAAACTTCCACTACCTTCTAACTTAAAAATAATAAAATAGAAGTATTCTTGAAATCACAAAATTATCTCAATACTTACTAGGGAGAGGGAATTCCTGAAGGGATGTGGATGCAGTTCCCATCTGCCATTTTCTCTGAATCTTCTCCAGATGTTCAACAATTTTCACTAGCAGTAAAAGGCTATTCAATTTTTGTTTTTAATAAAATGTATCCTAATTCTGTCTCATTGGGTTTGGACATGGCAAGTAGCAGCATTTTTTAAATACTGGACTGAAACAGTTAACATCCAGGGTTTGTCTTCACATGTTAGTGTTACATTAAACAGTTGGGCAACAGCACTTATGCTCCAAACATCTGAAATTTGTCTTGCCACTACATAATGCATTATTTTATGCACAAATTGATATATAAAAATGCAGTCGATGGGTCTTTATGTGATTGTGGTTCACGAATTTATTCCAAAAGTCTTTCTAAATCATCAGTATTCAATGCAGCTAACAAAGCAACTCTTTGGAAGGTGCTTGCATTTAGTGAGCAGGGATTCTCTGATTTGCTTTAAATTGAAAGTAAACAACTGATAGCAGGACGGAGTTTGAACACAACATCTGTGTTGATAAAAGTCTGATTGACTACTTGTTCTGACTATTAGGTTTTAATTCTGAGCAAAGCCTTAAATAGAAGACAACTAGGTTACATCCTCCATGGGTCCCATATACAAAACACCCTTCCTGTGTTCCTCAACACTGCACACTGTCACACACCCGGCGGTTCAATTTACATCCCGATACAAATTACAAAAAAAGTACCTGCAATCCCCGCTGTTCCTCTCTGCAACTTTGATTCTGGGTTTTTGTTTCTGTGCCTCAACTGGAAAAGAGAAGTTTGTTGTACAACCCCAAAACATTTTTTTTTTTTTAAATATCACATCAGCAGTTAGCGTTTCTGGAACCAAGTTTTGCTGTGGCCTCTGCTAAACTTTGAGAGGGCTTTGTTCCACTCAGACCCAGCACGGGCCCTCCCTCTTGGTTGTGAAGACACTTATCCTCCTCTTCAGTTAATGAGTTTCACCTAGTCTGGCCGTTTGTGTTTTTATAAAAGATCTGCAAAGCACTAATTGCAAAAGAAGGGGGGAAAAGCTCTTGCTTTGCGTTGACCAGAATGTGGAATCTTTACTAAAAGCATTTTCTATTTTAATGTTTCAAGAACCAACCCCTATACTAATTTCAGAATGTGCACACATAAACTCAGTGCATTTCTGAGTGTAGAATGGTAAGCCGTCTGCCTCACTTACTTCTGGCAGTGGTTCCCTTACTATTGAGAGCAGTGCTGAAAGGAAAAAGATATGCCCACAGCAAATACACTTTCCGAAATACTGCATAAAGAAGGCTATTTTTTCTTAATGATCTTTTTGATACAGAGTTCACTTAGTCTAAGAGACTCTTTGTTCTAGAAATAAATCATATCAAGGGAAAAAACTGTCCATGAAGACTTATTTTCTTTGTTACTTGGAGTCAGTCCATAAGCTCTTATTGTTAAGTACTGGGCCATGAAATATATATACATATTGCAAATCTTGTGGACTTTTGGAGCATATTTTCTAGAAGTAAAATTTCAAAATCTGGTACTACTAGGAGGAAATCAAATTAATATAAACAAACATTTTGAAATTTGGCACATCAAAAATAGTTATACTAGCTTGGCAAACATTTTGAAAGTCAATTCTATTAATATGCAAAAACTCAAACTGGGAGAATTTTCTGTAGGTGTAACTGCACTATTTTCATACTATTATTTTCTGCTCAAATTATTTTTTATGCAAAATGTTTTTAAAAAATTAGTTCTTTTCCAAAAATGCATTCACAGACCTTTGATAAAGGCTGGATCCCCTTGCTTCTTCAGTGGTTGTTTTTTCTCCTCTGTGAAAGAGGACTGAAGTTTTATTATTACTATTACTTACTATGTAAAATACAGTTTAGAGAAAGTGCATGTATAATTTCTAAAACAGCTTCCGTAAGATTCACTTTGCACATTCAGAAAAAACGCCCGAACAATGAAGTGAAATGTTTCAGCTTCAAACTAATTCTAAAACTTCAAATGTATAGGAGTTTTAGGGTCTCTGGTAACCATTTGTGTTTATCATTTATAAATCATGCCTTATCCATGTTATAATTTTCATTCATTTTATATAAGCTAATGTTTTTCAGCTTGTTTTTGGTGATTTTACACCAATACTAGTTATTTAAACTGTGAGTAAACTGAGCTGCGTTGTCATGTCATGCCAAAAAGTGGAAAAAAAAGCGCCAAACCAAAAGAAAACCTATACAACTTAGTGAAAAAGAAATGACCACTTGACTTTTACCAAAAAAAGTACTTAAGATTCTTTTAAGTTATATTTAAATATCAATTTTAAACATAGGAAATATAAATTGGCATATTAAAGAGTAAATACATTATTTGTACAATAAAACACCAAGAAGATCGGTATGTACCCCTATTAAGTTTGAAATGAGGGAAAATTATAAATATTTCTTATTCTTTACATTCTGGTTACAGTTCAATAAATCACTCTATTCTCCTCCCTCTTGACATGCTTTGAAATATGGATTAACTGATGTCAATTTTAACAAATTTGCTTGCTTGTTCTGGTATTTTGTTAAGGTATTCAAATTCAGACAAGCAAATAATTTGTCTATGGAAGGATAGCATGCATTTATTTTATGATTGATTTGGGAGACCAGATTTTACATAAAAAGTAGTTTACAATCCTTCTTTCTTATACTGAGCTGCAATCTTATGGTAGGAAATATCCTCTTTCAGGGTAATATAGAAACGCTAATTTGCCAAATAACGATGAAAACATTCTAAAATCAGCATTAAGTTTAAAAAGCTGTTATCAATCCATATAAGCAGTGTTTTGATTATTTTTATTCCATTTCTCTATTACCTAAATGGAAATAATTCCCCTGCAATAATGTTGCTATGTGCATGATCCACCTTGAGCTACAATTTACTTTCAATCAAACATTAATGAAATTGCACTTAAGGGGGAGGCCTTTGAAAATTATTCTCTCAAGTTCCACTCCAAAATCGGACTCATTGTTAAAGCTGGGTTGATTTTTAGAGCTACAAACACCAACAAAGTTTCCAACTTTTAGAACTCTGAGAGCTTTGGTTAGGAACGTGGTGGAAGTGGACACAGCCAGCTTTTCGAATAATTTAGGAACTTCTGGAAGGAGGAAATCACCACCTCAGCCTCCTGGCGTGGTATTTCTCAATTCCAGGTCCGTCGCTGTCCCCCAAACCCCAGAGGAGAGGTCCAGAGCGTGCCCCTCTCCATGACCTATTCGTTAGTTTTTGATCGCCGCGTACACAAGGGTCCGCTTCGGCGTGTTTTCCCCATCCGTTCTCGAAGTTCCTAGTACAGCCTCTGCGCCGCAGGCAGGACCCCAACCCGGGGCGCCCACGCGGTCACCACGTCCTGCCATAGAGCAGGTTGGCGCCGAGCACGCCGCCGCCGTAGTCCCCAGCCGCCGCGTCCAGGGTCGCCAGACCGCCCCCTGGGCCGTGCAGCGCTGGCGGGCTGGGCGACAGCTCTTCGAGCTCGGGCGCCGGCGTCGGGGCCGGCGGCTGCGGCCCTGCCTGGCCGGGGGTCGGCGTGCCGGCACCGTTCTGGCACGGCTTGCCGTCCTTGACCAGCACGGGCACCGCCACACGGCGCGGGGACGGCGGCGGCGGCGGCGGCGGCCCCAAGCCGCCCTCCTGCTGCAGCTGCTGCGCCGCCTTGTCCTTGGCCTGCCGCTTCATCTTGTAGCGGTGGTTCTGGAACCAAATCTTGACCTGCGTGGGCGTCAGGTGGATCATGCTGGCCAGGTGCTCACGCTCGGGCGCCGACAGGTACTTCTGCTGCTTGAAGCGCCGCTCCAACTCGTAGACCTGCGCTTGCGAGAAGAGCACGCGGCGCTTCCTTCGCGGCGCCGCCGCCGCCGCCGCGTGCAAAGGCGCCAGGGTCTTGGCGGCGTCTGCGATGCCCGTCAGCGACCCCATGCCGGCCACGTTCACGCCCGCCGATGGCCCCATGAACCTGGAGACTGGGGAGGGGCCCGAGGGGGAAGCCCAGTGAGCGCCAGGCCCGCCGGGAGCCCTCACCCGCCGCCGCCCCGCGCTCTTCACACCAAGCCGGCCGCGACGCCGGCGGGACCCCGGGCTGGGTCCCGGCACCCTCCGCGCGCCCAGGGGTCCATCGCCCCCCGGAGGGTCCCAAGACCCCCGCGAGCTCCCGGCTGGGTCCCAGCACCCTCCGCGCGTCGGGCGACCCAGCGCCCCCCGCCGGGTCCAGGGACCCCCCACCCTGCGCGCCCCCGGCCGGGGGCCCAGCACCCTCGGCCCCGCGCGCGCGCGCTCGCTTCCCGGGCTGTAGCAGGCAAAGCCCGCGCCGTCCGCCTGCCCTGAGTCCCCGCGCTGCCCGCCCCGCTCACTTGACGAGTAGCGCGGGTCCGGGTTGGCGCCGTACCAGCCGGTGGCCGCGGCGGCCGCGCCGCCCCGCATGCCGTCCGTGTAGGCGGGCAGCTCGCCCACGTTGCCCAGGCCGCCGTTGCAGTAGCCGCCCATGGCGCCGTGAGGGAACTGCGAGACGCCCGGCGGCATGTGGTAGGTAGCGGCCGCCGCGGCCGCCGCCGCCGCCGCCGCCGCCGCCGCCGCCGCGTTGTGGCCCGCCATGGCGTGCGGCGGCTGCATGCCCGCCACCGCCGCCGCCTGCGAGGAGGGGCCGAGCGGAGGCGCGCGGTAGGCGGCGGCGGCCGCCGCCGCGGCCCCCAGGGGCGCCCCCAGGCCGGGTGGCGCGCCGTCCATGGCGCCGCCGAACTTCTTGTAGGTCTCCTCGATGGGGCTCAGGATGTCGGACACGGAGAAGGGCGTCGTGTGCTTGGGGCTCAACGACATGGCTCGGCGGACAGCCAGGTAGGGGGGTCCGGGGCGGGCGCAGCGGGACGCGGCGGCCGCTCGTTGCCGCCACCCCGGCTGCGGCGGGAGCGCCTGTGACGAGGAGTCGGCGGCGCGGCGAGCCCCCGAGCCGCGGGATCTGGGGTTTATTTTAGTCCGCCGCCAGGTTTACGACAGACTCGGGGGGCGGAGCAACATCCCAAACGAGCAAACAATGGTCATTGACATCTTTTTCTTTACCCCCCACCCCCCGTAATGGAGGCAAAAAGGTAAAGGGGGCAGTTGGGTGTTTCTTGAGAAAATCACCCCCCTTTGCTTTCTCCATCCTTCCCGCCTCAATCCCTGGCAGTTACCCCAGCCCTCGAGCACCAGAAATAGAAACTCCGAGGTCGGCGTCGAGGCTTGACGTCAAGGACTCGTCGCTTCTTCCCGTCCAGACCGCAGTTTTCCTAAAGGGACTTTGTAGCAAAGCCCAGTATATTTGGAGAGCGGGGATGTGGTGCAGAATTGGAGGGGGGTGTGCAGGGCTCTCCTCGTCCTCTCTGGCGACCAGCGCCTCATTCGCTCCATCATCTAAAGTGTTAAAAAAAAAAAAAGGCTCTTGGGTCCCACCATAAGAGCGCATAAAGAGATGAGGTACAATGACCACCCTCTGCCTTTGTAGGGCTTCTAATTTATGCATCTTTAGACCCTTAAGCATCATTTTGTGGGCAACCAAACGGGCACTTCTAAATTAGCTCCAAGTAGCCAAATCCAAAGAAGAGAGAAAACACGCACACAGAGACCCCCACAAATACATAGATGCTAACTTGTAAGTATTCTGTTTTTATCTGTGGGGATGGAGGGTTGGATAAGAGAAAGAGAGTACATTTTTATTTGTTAGGCTGTTTCATGTTCAATTTGCACATGTAAAGTTCATCACAGTTTTCTTTCCCTTTGCTGTTGCTGCTGCTTTTTTCCTTCTCCGCTCCCTCCACTTTCCCTCTCTCTCTCAAATAAATATCCAACTTAGGGTTTATTCTCTTATTACCATGATCAAAAAGAAGAGGGGGGAAAAACTTGAAAATCTAAATATCTCTGGTTGTTTGAAATGGGTCTTTCTGTTGTTAGAAAATATATAACCTGTTCAAGGAATATGAAATGGATGCAGAAACCAGGTAAAAATGATAGTTCCTTTTGAAAAAAATATGAAACCATAGATAAACTTATTAAAAAAAAACTTTGTCACTCTTTAATTTGCAAATTGACCCGCAAAGAACTTAGTCTAAGTTTTCCACCAAATGCTGAACATGACAAAGAATAAGACAAAAGAAGTGTGCAAAGCATATTGACTAAATTTTGAAAACAACCTTGCAGTTTTTTAAAAAATGAAAATGGGGAAATGAAGATACAGTTTTGAAGTTTTCCTGGATACTAGTGGGGCAGGAGAAAGAAAAACGAGGAGATTACTTTCTTAAGCCAGATTTTATTGTTTAGGAAGAAGAAAAGGATGTGTGGAAATGATTCCAGTTTAACCTAACGGTATATGTCTTGAAGGCAAAAACAGTGTTACCTATTCCTTTTCTTGTTGGGCTTCAATCCTTTGGTGTATGGAGAGGGAACAGTATGGTAATATATGAGAACAAAGTGTCAACCAGACAAATGTGTAGAGTAGTATTTTAAAATACTAAAAGAATGAAAGGCAAAGTTACATGAATTGTTTACAGTTGTCAGTTAATTGACTTGACAAGATTAGTATTGCTACAATTTAACATGATGTTACTTTTACAGGTCTTTCCTGACCTTGAATCACTTGGACTAGGTCTTCGTCCTCACCTACACTGGAATTATTTATTAATTTTTTAAAAATTAGTGACCCACAAAGAACCATTTATGTATGTACTTAAGTGATTGCTGGAATCCTGAAAACTGCAGTTTGGCTTTTAAATTCTGGTTTAATTCAAATTGTATTGTTTACTTGTAGTAGCTTAAATAAAAAATAGTAGATAGTCTTTCATTTCAAACTTTCTTCAGCCACAACAAGGTAAGTAAAATTATTTGTGTTATGGCATCTATAGATTTAAAAATTCCGTTGTGAACCATTTTATTTTATTTTTCAAGTTCAAACATGTCTCAGAAATGAAACTTATTGTCAAAACATTCATGTTGATTAGTTACCCACTTGAAAAAGTGTTTATAATAAGATTTTTCCAGGTAATTATTATTTACTCCTTATTCAGACTGTATACTTCATCTTATGTAGTTTGTTGTCTAGAACCACAGGACGGCAGTTCACATCAAGTTGTTGCTTACTTTGTTTTTCAACTGTATTGGATCCTGCTACAGGTTCATTTACATATGGAAGGATCCCATTTTTAAATGAAAAAAAAAAATATCGTATCTGGAGGCTCTCTGCTGAGAGTTACTTTCTGGCTGCTGGGGAACTTGATGCCCTAAATATTACTCCTTCTCTAGAAGTCATTAGTTGTGGGGGGAAATATCCATAATCTTTAACATTTCTCTTTCTCAATTATTTGTGTCTCATTTTAGAAATTATGTAACTTTATGCTGGAAACACTATTTGGATATATGCAGATGATTCTGAAAGTAATATAGTCTGGAGGATGTATATGTACATTTATATACAGACACAAATTAAAACAGTCCAAATGATACTCCATTAAAGCTTTTCATCAAATTTACTTCATCTGATTATTATCTGCCTACGTTATGTATGGAAATTTATACTCAGTAGATTCTTAAATACTATTTACTAAATTGGATGTCACAGGAAATGTATTTTTAAGGAATGTTTTTGGGGGAGTGGAATTTCTCTTTCCTTAAAAACAATACTGGCATGGGGGGGGTGGGGGGGGTGGAAAAGCAAATACCACCAAAGGGAATACAGTGAAAAGAGATGGCCCTCCTACTCCTCCAGCCTCTCACTTTCCCTTTTCAGATGCACTGTTAACCTGTTTCTCCTGGGATAGTCTGTACAATTTGAAGCATACGACCATTTTACAATGGGTTGTGGCAGAGACAGAAAATTTTCTAGGCAAAAAGTTTCAGATCTTGGCTTCTTGACAAAAATGTGGCATTTGTTGAAAATCTCTGATGTGTATGTGACCCTTAGGACCAAACATATTTGGCAAAAAAAAAAAAAAAAAATCTGAAATAGAAGCCTTTTCCAAATTTGGGATTTGCTCTTGTCAGAAAGCTCAGAGAAAGGGGCTTGAGAGATGTTGAGAAACTGTCTGCTATATCCCCCCAGAACTTAAAGGGAAATGTGTTTTTCTACATTGTTGCTTTTCTGTCTAGCAAATAGATTTCTAATGGGTCCCAATTTCTTATAAAGACAGACTGTGTTTGAAAATATAACTTTTGCTTGACATTCAAGAAGATAAGTGACTTTTAGAAATGAAACACTTGCTACATTTGTGATTAGTTTAAAATAATTGTGAAATATTTTGGTTAAAAAAGTGCCTATTTTGTGGAGGTAACTTTAAAATACCATCCTTGCGATTGGGAAGGAATAAAGAACCATGTCAGGATAGTACTTTGTAGCAAAATTTGAGGTTGTAAAGAGGAAACAAAACAAAGATAAAACATAAAAAGTTTTAAAAAATCATTAAAATTTTTTTCTGAGGTACCTGGCTGGCTCACTCAGTATAGCATAGGACTCTTGATCTCAGGGTTGTAAGTTTGAGCCCCACATTGGGTATAGACATTACTTTAAAATAAAATATTGAAAGGGGCGCCTAGGTGGCTTAGTTGGTTAAGCGTCTGACTTTCGCTTAGGTCATGATCTCGCGGTTCGTGGGTTCAGCCCCGCGTCGGGCTCTGTGCTGACTGCCAGCTCAGAGCCTGGAGCCTGTTTCAGTCTGTGACTCCTTCTCTCTCTGACCCTCCCCTGCTCACGCTGTCTCTCTCTCTGTCTCCTAGAAATAAATAAAACATTTAAAAAATAAATAAATAAATAAATAAATAAATAAATAAAATATTGAAAAAGTGCTGATTTCATCAATTTCTGAAATTTGGTTCTCATTTCTTTTTAATCATAAAACTCTTTTAAGTGTTCATTTCAATTATTTTGAATCCCTTATGATAATTTTACACTTGGATTTATGCAATTTGTTGCTTCTCTCCCCCTCTCCCAATGGGGTACAGCAGAGGTAGGGTTTTCACAGTACCTGCATGCCTCCCTGCCATGCTTCCCTCCTTGAATCCTCAGTCCATCTCTCCATGGTACACTGAAATGCATCTAGGGACTAGGGCTGGGGAGAAATGGTAATCTCTCTCTGGGAGAACAAGAGGAAGAGGCTAGAAAACTTGACACCCCTCACCTCATCCCTACAGTCACCCTTTCATATTTGCTTCAACAAATGCAAACTCTGCAATTAAAAAAACTTGAGTTACTCTTTGAAATTAAGGTATTTTCGATTGAAAATTGTCTTCTGACCAATGGATAGGTTTTAAATTAAGATGATTATTAATATAATGTAAGAATGAATGGTAGGTGTTAAAGACATTGCTGTGGAAATCATCATAATAAGGAGGTCCAATTAAATGACTCTTACAAAACAAAAAGTAGAAACCTCCCTTTCTATGGTCACACTGTACAAGGTTTTATAGTCACTGTAGAGAATAACATTAGGCTACCCAGGGATGTAAATACATGAAAATTGACTAGTATGTCATAACTTTCTTACCCTAGGATTTTGAGCTTGAGCTAGAAATTTGAATTTTTGTGTGTTTAAAAAAATATTTTAGAGTAAGTAATAAAATACTAGATTGGGGAAACAATGGCGATATTTAAATACATTTTTTATTTCTGAGTAACAAGTTTACTTGTGTATCTTGCTTACATAGAATGTTTAAGACCTTTTAGAATATAATAGCGTTTCCATTGAACAATATCTTTGACATATTTTTCCATGTTTTGGAATGTCTTAAATAGCTTTTTTACAGGAAAAAAAATCCTTTGAATTTTAGGCAAAACCATATTTCTATTTATTATTTTG